GATGCCACTCAGATCATCTGCTTAATGGGCAAAGTGGACTTTTTTCTGTTCAGAAAATTTTCAGAAAAATGTTCAGACTACCCTACCTTTAAAAATTTTGTACAGATCACCAAATGCAAAGGATAAAAATGGAAAAACTACTTAATGACTAGACTACTGGTCCATGTTTCAAAATGAAACCCATTCATTCATACATTCAACAAATATTTATTAAACACCTACACCAGGCACTGAGCCAGATGTCAGAGATTCAGCAACAAACGCACAATCATACCTTCCAAGTACCCAACTCACGTTCTCATATTTCCTACCTATGAGAATTCTGAATCTACTCAGATTTCTTGCAAATGACACCAGGATATTTATACTTTAGGGGAATTGTTGGCTAGAGAATCCTTTATTTTAACTGAGTTAAGAAGATTAACTAACATATTTCTTTAAGAAGGTTATAAGGACAGGGTTCAAACCTTTAGAGATATCCATCAGAAGTGATTTTAGACCAAATTCGATACATTTTTAACTCAAGATAACATTGAGTAAAAATTTAATGTTACCCTCCATTATTTACTGCTTCTGTGCTAGTAATGTATCTATCCATCCTTTAGTCATTTCAAAGGGCAACCGTGTATGCAGGTCACCTTCTCCTTCAATATTAGGAGGGAAAAATAAAAAGTTTATCCACTGTGAAGCACCATTGGTACAAAAAACTTGTCACTGCTTCTTCCCCAAAGTAACCTGCATCCCTCTTATGTCCAAGATGATTGATAATGATGACATCAAATTGCAGCTTCTCTTTCTTCATTTAAGGTTGTTTTCTACTGTCTAAAGAGATATTTCAAATTATGTGGTGATGCAAGAATATCACATTCATTCATTTATTCATTCTCTTCCTTTGTGGTAACATAAAACAATCTCAAGAAAATTGAGCAACCTAGGTATTTCTCTGCCTTGCTTTCCATTTGACAGTTTAACATCCCATATTTTGCCAGATAAAAATGTCTTAGCTTGTGGCAAAAGGAAATCCTTTGGGCCTGATAAGAAAAGATTATACAAGATATCAGATATGTGCTCATCTTTCTATTGGCTTTGGTGTGAAATATAGTCACCAACAATTCTTGAGCAGTATTTCTTATTAATCCTATCACTGGAAAGAAGTTGATTTATTTCTCAGTCCCAATGCAAAAATAACTGTAAATAAATAGATGAATAGGGAAATAGGTTAGAGGACTCGCTTGAATTAAATGCTACTCCTGGAACAAGCAAATATGACTAGAGGGTGGAGTCATGGGACGATATTGGATGGGAACTGCATGGCAGAGGGGGAGGAAGAGTTCTCAGAAGCAGGGGCATGTTTCCAGAAGAATGGCAGTGCTGTGAAGACAAAGCAGTGGGTGTCCACTGTGGACACTGTCCTTTTTCACTTTCAAATTAATTCCAGCTTTTAAATATGGAGTTAATTTAGAAACGATTGTAAGGGGAAAAACTTTGACTTTTTCTAATTCAACAAAAACTGGTAAAAACTTTCAAGGATGGATATTGCTTAAAAGTATACTGAGAAAATTTTGGAATCACCCCCGATAGAGTGCAATAAAAAAGTAAAATATCATCAAATATCACAGATCCCAAGAAGCTTCAAAAATGAATCTTTTATCTAGCATAAATGAAACTTAGCGCAATTCCTAATGAAAGCCACTCTTTCCCTGACCCTATAAAATATCTCATTTCCAACTCTTAACTTCTGCACTTTGATATCTAAGGGCTAGCAGCAACAGAATAGGAGCTTATTTTTAATTGCTTCATCTATAGAAAGAAGGGTGATCTCTAGAGAAACATAGTTTGAAAGTGTCTGAATTTAGCACCTTTAAATTATCAGTGGCAAACAGCAGAATCTGCATCTGGCAGGGGAAAGATTTTCAAGTATGAAATTGAATTTAGTTCCTGCAGGCTGCAAAAGCCCTAAATATAAAACTTTGGGAGAGGCATAAAAGTAATTGTGTCTAATTTGCTTAAAGGAATAGGTTTTTGCCTTGATTATATAAGAAAATCCATCCTTTAATTAACAATGTAAGGAGGAATTTTAAAATATTTTGATTTCACATTCAAAGTTAAAATGATTTAATTCATATTTTTAAAGATTAGAGATAGATTTTACTTGTTAAAGATTGTTGCATAATACCTACTTAGGAAAAAATCTTTTATCTAGGCTTAGCATACATCTCAAGCATAAGGCTCAATGAATTTTCACACATGTATATTCCTGTGTGACCACCACCTAGATCAAGATATAGAACATCTCCAGTATCACAGAAGGCCTCAGCATAGCCCTATATGGTCAATTCCTACTCCTACTCAGGGCCCCAGAAATAACTACTATTCCAACTCTCATGACCATTTGGATTTTATAAAAATAGAATCATTTAACATATTTTTTTATTTGTCTGGCTTTTGGGGGGGGGCTCATGATTATTTCTCTTACATTAATCTCTATTATTTCATGCAGCAGTGATTTATTTGTTCTTATTACTCTATATTATTTCATTCAGGCCATCTCAGGGTTTGAATAGTACCACATTGTATGAATATAACACACTGTAATTATCCACTTACTGTCTTTTGGTAGATGTATACATTTATTTCTCTTAGATACGTCCCTAGCCATAGAATTGATGAGCCATTGGGTAGGCAAATGTTTTGGTTTACTACATAGCACCAGCCAGTTATCCAACATGATTATACCAATCACACTGAAGCAAGAAATAAGAGTTCTTGCTGTTTCACTCCTAACAGGCATTGGTTGTAATCAGGCTCTCTAACTGTAGTCACTGTGGTAATTTCAGTGCTATTTATGGTGCTTTTACATTTCACTTCCTTAAATACCACTGATATTATGCTTGTTTTCATATGCTTAATGTTGTTGGGGAGGGGTAGAAAAAGAAAATCTCCCTACTAAGACTAAAAACATGGCTCTCTCCTTTACCTGGGATTCATGTTAACTTTTTTAAAGGTAAGAAATCAATGTATAAACTTCCAGTAATACTCATGGGGCTCTTGAAAGAAGACAAGACAAAATAACCTGGAAGAATATGTCCTCTACCTACACTGTATAGAATTCCCACAGGTAAAATTCTGTTAATGATTACTTCACAATCCAAAATTATAAGACATGAGGAAATACGGATGGCTCTTTGCATCCTTGGGTTCAGCCAACTACAGCTCAAAAATATTTGAAAAATAAAAATAAAAAAACAATACAACACTAAAAATAATAATTTAAAAATATACTATAACAACTATTTACATAGCATTTATATTGTATTGGGTACTATAAGTAACCTAGAGATAATTTAGAAGGATGTGCACAGGTTAAATGCAAATGTCACATCATTTTATGTTACAAATTTGAGCATCTGAAGGTTTTTGTATCCACAGGGAGTCATGGAGCCAGTCCTTTGAATACCAAGGGACAACTGTAATCCACAGTGATGGAAGAATTGCATATATGATATAATAATATGATAGAGAATATACATTAGAGATTTTAAACTAATTTTTGAAAACTTTCTGATTCTGATCATGATGGAATAATGAGTATTAAAATTATAATTCTACTATGTATAAACAACTCTAAAAGGGAACCAAATATACAAAGAGACATTTAATGTTCTGGACCACAGATAGTACGGATCTGTGATCCTTGAGAGGAAAGATAAAACACATGAAGTAAACTGTGCATTCATCCTGGTTTCCAAGGCATCTGAGGGCACTTTGGAAATGCTAGCATAGGTAAGGGAGCCTAAGGAAAGAGCAGTTATTTCTCTGAAACACACACACACGCACACACACTGAAATTCAGAGCTACTGAGGCAAATGGAATTTCTGGAGCACAGAAGCAGAGAGAGGGAATTGCACAGAGAAAAAAATCCATAAATCTGCATTGGGGTACCCCTTAAGTCTTTGGCCAAATACTAAACTATTCATGTCAGCGTGAATTCCACAAGGCCTCACAGAGAACAGTTACTGAGCTATAGGATGAACATAAATTCATCTTTGAGATGAACAGATTGTGGAGGTGACACAGGAATGGGTGATGCTTAGAGTTTTGATCAGCCAGAGTGAGATAATCTCATTGGGCACCTGAAAATTCAGTTCATATTCCACAAAGGCCACAACTTAGAAGTGCAGATTCTTTATCGCCATCCAAATAAAGACTAAAACCAAGATTTGATATAATAAAGTCACCAGTAAAGCAATTATCAGCTAAAACAATACTCAACATGTTTTAAAGGAAATCAACATAATGTAAACTCTCAACAATATTAACAGCCACAGTGTCCAGAACACAATAATAATTTTTAAGACATTCAAAAAGGCAGGAAATATGAACTCTAATCAGGAGGGAGAATAAGTCACTAGAAGTACAACCCAGGAAAATATGCATGCTTGAATTAGCTGGCAAAGACTTTTAAAAGTTCATATAAATAAATTTAGGGACATAAATAAAAAGGCAGACAATTAGTGAATATATGGAACATGCCGACAAAGATAAAAATATTTTTTAAGAAAACAAAATGGAAATTTAAGAACTGAAAACTACAATATTTGACATTTAATATTCACTTGAGCTTAACAATAGAGTGGGGACTGGTAAAAATCAGTGAACTTAAAAACAGAGAAATAGATACTATGCAAGTGGAAGAAGAGAAAGAAAAAAATACTGAAAAAGCAAACATATCTCCAGTAACTCGAGAGAAAACATCAAATGGTTTGATATATGAGTACATGGTGTCCTATAGTCCTAGCAGAGAGGAGAGAGATTAGGCCCACAAAATATTTCAAGAAATGACTAAAAGTTTTCTAAATTTGATTTAAAAAATTAATCCAGAAATCCAAGAAGTTCAACAAACCCAAGCAGAATACACACAAGGAAAATCACACCTAGAAGCATCATATTAAGCTTGATGAAAACCAAGGTAAAGAGAAATTTTTGAAAGAAGTGTTACTGAAATGCTAGGAGTTTGGTCCAGGTACTGTGCTCACCACACAGAAAGCTGATCACTGGGACGGTGAGTACTGCCAGAAAAGAAGGCTTTATTCAAGTGCTGCAGCCAAGGAGAATGGCAGATCAGTCTCAAATCTGTCCCAAGTGACTAAAATTAGGTGCTTATATAGTAAGGAAGAAATGTAATCACCTGTGGGAAAGCAGGAATTAGGGAGGGGTAAGGAAGAGGAGTTGGTCAACAGGAAGCAGGTGGTTGATTCAGCAATCATAGTGGGTGAGAGGTCTGGTGTCCCATTGTCTGGGACAGTACTTTCATACTATCTGGAAGTTTCAGTACTTTAATACTGTCTGGAAGAACTGATGGTTGTTTTCCTGAGAAAGCTGCTCAGATTAGACAAATGTAACTTTCTCAAGCTTTAAGACTGGCAGTGTCAATTTTCATGTTTATGCAAAAGAAGCCATAAACAGTTCTGTGGGACAATTTTGGCCACTTTCAGAAGCAAAGGAAAACAATGCATATTATATGTAGGCCATGATGATAAGAAAAACATATTTCTTATCAAGCACAATGCTAGCCAGAAGCCAATGTAACAACATAATTAAAATGCCAAAAGAATAAAAGTCAGTCTAGAACTACATATCTAGCATATTTTAAATGAAGGTGAAATATAGACTTTTCAGATAGATAAGAGCTGAGGCAATTCATTGCCCACAGACCTGCACTAAAAGAAGTTCTTCAGCCTGAAGGGCAACAATAAAATAACACCAGACAGAAACTTGGATTTGCATAAAGGAGCAAAGACTGCCAGAAATGATACATGATTAAACGGAAAAGCTTTCCTCATTCAGAATACTTAACATATCAAGAATAATAATAACAGTGTGGTGTGGGATATACAGCTTATATAAAAATAAAGTGGGTAAGAAAAATAACACAAAGACCTGAGAGATGGTAAATGAAAACATTTTGTTGTAAGATTCTATCAGATGTAAAGAATTATAATAATAAAGCAAGGTGTACTATGAGTAGTTACAGATATGCCGACACTAGCCATAAGAAAGGCAAAGTCTTTACAGTAATATTGAAGTACACTTCAGGAAAAGAGAGACTTTCAGTACATAAAAATGTATAACAATTCTAAATCATACATTATACAAAACCTGAGAGAACTAAAAAAAAAGTTAGATGAATTAATAATTATAATCGAAGATTGTTTTACTCCTGTCTAGTTATTGTTAGAATGATTAAATTAAAAGACGTATAAGGTAGATATGCAACACTAGAAAATAAGAAATTTAGAGAAACTTAGATAAAACTTCACCTAATAACTGATCTCACAGTCTTTTCAAGTGCACAAGAACCATTCACCTAGATGTACCATAAGCTGGTCCAAGAAAAATGTCTCAATAAATGTAAAAGGACTGAACTCATACAAAATATGTTTTCTTACTGCAATGGAATTAAATTAAAAAGCAATAATAAGGCCAGGCGTGGTGGCTCACACCTGTAATCCCAGCACTTTGGGGGGCCAATGTGGGTAGATTACGAGGTCAGAAGATTGGCACCATCCTGTCCAACATGGCAAAACCCTGTCTCTACTAAAATACAAAAAACAAACAAAAAAAATTAGCTGGGTGTGGTGGTACATGCTTGTAGTCCCAGCTACTTGGGAGGCTAAGGCAGGGGAATCACTTTAACCCACGCAGCGGAGGTTAAAGTGAGCTGAGATCATGCCACTACACTCCAGCTTGGTGACAGGGCAAGATTCCATCTCAAAAAAAGAAAAAAAATCAATAATAAAATTATATTTGGAAAATCTCTAAGTATTTGGAAATTAAACACATTTTTGCATGACCCACTGCTCAAAGAAAAAAATCTAAAGGAAAGCTGCAAGAGAGTTGGAACTAATGACAATTAAAACCTAATTATGAGCTACAATAGTCCTTAGATGAAACTTTATAGCCTGAAATGCTTATCTTAGAGAAAAAGAGTGTTACAAAATCACTAATATAAAGTTTCACCTTTAAGGTAGAAAATAAGAGTAATTAAACTAAAAAAACAGCAGGAAAGAAATATAGCAGAAACCATTGAAATAGAAAACACTTCAACAGTAGAGAAAATCAAAGAAACAAAAGTGGGTCATTTGGAAAGATCAATAAAATCAATAAATCCCTAAGAGGAAGGAGAGAGAGAAAGAGAACACAAATTACCACTATCAGGAATACACAAGGGCATATTCCTATAGAACATACAGACACGAAAAATTTAATAAGGAAATACTATGAATTGCTTTTGGTAACTTAGATGAAAGGGACAAATTTCTTGAAAGACACAATTACCAGTAGTGACCCCAAGCTAAAGAAACTGAATTCAAAAACAAGAAGAGGCTGGGCATAATGGCTCATGCCTGTAATCCCAGTACTTTGGGAGGCCAAGGAGGGAGGACTGCTTGAGTCCAAGAGTTTGAGACCAATGCGGGCAACATAGGGAGACCCTATCTCTACAATTGTTTTTTTTTTAAGAATTAGCTGGGTGTGGTAGTGCCTGTAGTCCCAGCTATCTGGGAAGCTGAGGTGGGAGGAAGAAGAAAGAAGAAAGAAGAAGAAAGAAGGAGGAGGAGGAAGAAGAAGAGGAGGAGGAAGAGGAAGGAGGAGAAGGAGGAGGAGGAGGGGGAGAGGGGAAGGGGAAGGAGGGGAAGGGGAAGGAGGGGAAGGGGAAGGAGGGGAAGGGGAAGGAGGGGAAGGAGGAAGAAGGAAGAAGAAGATAACAAAATTAAGGAGAAATTTCTCACAAAGAAATCTCCAGACCAGATGTCTTCACCGGTGACTTCTTTCAAACAGTCAAGGAAGAAATAATACCAACATTACATAAACCCCTTCAGAAGAATAAAAGAGAACACTTCCTAACTCATTTTTCTGAGGCCAGCATTATCCAGAGAATAACATCAAAGATGTTTTAGAAAAAGAAAAGTAAAATGCAAAAGTGTGGAGCTGACTGAGCTAAAGGAGTGTGATGGCTTTTTGATGTGTCAACATTTTGAGGCAATCAACCCCAGTTAGTCAAACAAACCCTAATCCAGGTGCTGCAACAAAGGAATTTTAAAGAGGTATTAAGGTTCCTAATCAGTCGTCTTTAAACCTCTAATCTGTCACCTTGATTTCATCAGCTGGATGTCCTTAAAAGCAGGTTAAGACTCCTGAGAGAAAGGGTCAGAGAGAGAAGAAATGTGCCTGTGGGCAAGAGGTCTCTCCCCCTCGTGATCTTCCCTTGGTGATTGTCACTCAGCTTCTTAAGTGCAAGTCAGACTTCCTTAGCCAGCTCCCCCAATGATGTAGAGAATTATTAGAAATCTCCATCTCTTTCTCTCCATTCAGTTATTTACTTTCTGCTTCTCAAGTTGGACCCTGACTGATATACAAAAGATAGCATTTAGAAATTGTCAGAAAAGTGCACAGAACAAAATTATGGTGGACCCTACAGTCTGCGTTAAGAAGAAGAGATTTTTAAGTGCAATTGGATATGAGCAGTCATATTATCCAAGGGCTTATCTAAGCAGTTGCTTAAGAAATACTAAGTTCTTCCCAATAAACTGGAAAAGTAAAATGGCGTTACAGTGTTGGTGGATTTAAAAAGAAGCTGGAACCATAATAGCTCTTAGAAATGTAACCCAGAGAAACAATTGAAATGGAAGGAAATCTATATCTGTATTAATTTTATGCCAGTATGTAACAAATTACTACAAATTTAGCAGCTTCAAATACAACACACATTTGTAATACCCATTTAGTAGATCAGAAGTCTGGTATGATGTGACTGGGTTCTCTGCTGAGGAAATTACAAGGCTGAAATTAAGATGTCACCTGGCTAAATTATCGTCTGATGGATACTGCAGCGGGGAGGGGATCTGTTTCCAGGTTCACATGGTGGCAGAAGAATTCAGTTCCTTGTGGTTGTAGGACTGAATACTTGTTTTCTTGCTGGCTGTCAGCTGGGGGCCACTCCCAGCTCCTAGAGGCCACCCGCATTCCTTACTATGTGATCCTTCCCATCTCCCACAGAGAATCTCCCTCATACTGACTCCCTGTCATGCTGCGAATCTTTCTGATTTCTGGGACCCAGATTCAGAGGGCTCATGTGGTTAAGTCAGACTCATCCATATTGTCTTCTTTAAGACAATAGTGCCATATAACATAACCTAATCATGGATGTGAAATCCATTCTGTTCACAGGACTGGGAGTTATAAAGGGTATAAACACCAGAGACTGGGAAGTCTTGAGGGCCGTCTTAAAATTCTGCCTACCATAATCTATCTATCTATCTATCATCTTTCTAATCTAGATAGATGTATAGGTGGTTAGGCACACAGAGTGTTTATTCCTGCACTATATGTATGTTTGAATATGTATCTACTGAACAACAAAAAAACAAATTCCAACTCTAGGCCAGATAGCCTTTAATATGTCAGATGATGGGATAGCGTCATTACATTAAAACATGTTTCTCTATGTTTCTGTGATGTCCTCGCCATCTCTAATGGCAATGTAAGTGGGAAAATGCAATAAGGAATGATGCATATGCGTTGATAATAGGAATGACAAAATCACAGAAATGTTAGACGTCTATAAGGATCAGAGTGAGAATGGAGAAGGCAGAGAGGTTTTTTTGTTATTGTCATAGTCGTTGTAAGGTGTGGGGAGGACAAAGAATGAGCCAATGTGTTAAGATAAACAAATGAGTTTCTATTGCCTTTACCCTTTTGGGGTTTCTGCCCACACTAGACGAAATTTTCAAAATATTTGGACAGAAGTAGAATGGATTTGGCAAACATATGGTGCCAGTTGAATCCAGACTCCCTAATCATTTCAAGGCTGTGCAAAGCTGGCTTGCAGGGGCAGGGCGGCTGGGGGAGATGAATTAAATAAGGAGGTTGGAGGAAGGAGCTCCAGCTGCCTCTTTAGGAGTTGAGTGACTCACTTCTAAGGGGCTCCTGTTGCATGTACCTCTCATCTAAGTCACTGATTAGGAGACAGCTGGAGTAACTACAAAGTCCTTCCTTCCTCTCCAGAGTCTGCTGTCCAAACCCCTTTTCCCTCAGGCTGCCAGGCCCAGGTCCTTGTTGCTGACTAATCTCTCC